TTCTGGAACAATAGAGGTGATGGTTGCACAATATTGTGAATGCACTAAATGCCACTGGATTGTGCACTTTGGAATGAACAATTTTGTGTTATGTGAATGTGTCCTCAAAAAATAGATGATAGATTGATTGTTTGATGATAGAGGATAGATTTATATGTGATAGAGAGAGAGGGGCATAGATGAGCGAACACACCACCTAAAGCAGCCCAGACAAGACATGCTGAGGCCTGAAATCCTGGACAGATTAGAGAGAGATTAGAAGAAAATCAACAGGCATGGGGGAGGGGGCAGGTCAGGCATTAGGGACAGGAAAGGGGAAAGTCAAGAGGACTCCTAGGTTCTGGCTTGGGTGGCCTAGTGGGTGACCGCACCCTTCACTGAGGGAGGGTCAGGTTGGAGAGTAGCTGTCACCCAGTTAGCACTTGCTGGGCCTGCGCCAGCAGCCCCCTGGAAATGATGAGTAGGCAGTGTCCGGGGGAGCTTCCAGCTTGGATGAACTCTAGCCTTGAGATCCTCTGAGGCATCCAGGCTCTAGCAGAGAGTCAGGTGTTGGCTGAAGATCTGTATAGACAGCCTGGGGAAATGGGGCTTGGTCCCATGGGGGGCAGGGAGTGCAAGATAGACGGCATTTTATCGAAGTTTTGAGGTTAGGATTCGTTCCTGATTCCAGGGAAGCGGTAAATGAAAAGGTGGAGAGTTGTTGCCCAGCTCAGTGGTTGAGTGTCAACTTATGAACCAGGAGGTCACAGTTCAATTCCCGGTCAGGGCACATGCCCGGGTTGTGGGCTCAGTCCCCAGTGTGGGGTGTGCAGGAGGCAGCCGATCAATGATTCTCTCTCATCATTGATGTTTCTCTCTCCCTCTTCTTCCTTTCTGAAATCAATTTTTTAAAAATTTTAAAGAAGGTGGGGAGTTGTTGAGTTCTTCCTCCATTTCTTCCCAAGATTATGTAAGTCATCCCTACCTGAACATAAATCCTTTAAAAAACAACAACAAAAACTTAAATAACTAGAATGGTTCTGTGGTCTGCCACCAAACCCCAATTGATGTGAATGGAAAGAGACAACCTGGCAAATACCATCCTAAAGGAAGCTAGACAAGAGAAATTAATGTCAGACAAAGTAGACCTCAGGGCACAAATATTATTAGGAATTAAAGAGATTGCTGCATAATGATTAAGTAAATAATTCATTTGCAGCATTAACCATTGTGAACGTGTGCGTACCTGCCTAATGACAGAGCATCGAATGTATATCAAACAAAAAAGGAAAAGGAAAAATTAATAAATTAGTACATTCACCACAATAAATTATACCACCTCTCACTACAATTGGCAGCTCAAGCAGACAAAACTAGTAAGAATATAAGGGGAGGGAATGAACAAACTTGATGAATGGGCCTTCCAAAACTAAAGACTACACACTCTTATCAGTTCACCTAGATTATAGTATAGGTCCTAGAACATTTACTATAACTCACCATGTCCTGAGCCACAAAACAAATCTCAACAAATACTGAAAGAATTGGTATTGTCCAGATCATGTTCCCAAGCTGCGATAGGATAAACACATAAATTGGTAACAATACTAAAATAAGTCCTTCTAAATGTTTGGAAATTTAAATGTACATGGAAATCTAAAAACAGAACTGAACAACAATGAAAATAAAACTACACGTGAAAACTCAGGAGATGTAGCCCAGCAGTACTTAGGAGGAAATGTATAATCTTAAAATGAATAAGAGGAGTACCAACTCAGGAAGTTAGAAAAACCACAATAGAACAATCCTAAAGAAAGTAGAAAGAAGGACTCACACTTCCTGATTTCAAAACATATTACAAAACTATAGGAATTAAAACAGTGCGGTACTGGCATGAAGACAGACAAATAGACCACTGGGACGGAATAAAGCCTAGAAAGAAATCCTCACTTATATAGTCAACTGATCTTCAACAATGGAGCCAAGACCATTCAATAGAGAGAAGACAGTCTCTTCAATAAATGGTTGTGGGAAAACTGAATAATCACATGCAAAAGAATGATGTTTGAGCCTGGCCAGTGTGGCTCAATGTTTGAGCATTGACCTATGAACCAGGAGGTCACAGCTCGATTCCTGGTCAGGGCACATGCCCAGGTTGGGGGCTCGATCCCCAGTGTGGGGCGTGCAGGATGCAGCCTATCAATAATTCTCTCTCATCATTGATGTTTCTAACTCTCTTTCTCTCCCTTCCTCTCTGAAATCAATAGAAATATATTTATTTTTAAAAATTATGTAAGTAAAAAAACAAAAAAATTCACAAAGGGAATCCAGAAAGAATTATTAGACGTAATACAGGAATTTACAAACTTGTTTGATACAAAATCCATACACAAAAAGTGTGTTTCTATATACCAGCAACACAATCCAGAAGGTGAATTTAAAAGAAAATAGCATTTATAATGACACAAAAAAACCAAGTCTCTAGTAATAAATCTAACAAAGGATGTTCAATTCCTTTAGAGGGAAATGTATTGAAAGGATCTTAATAAATAGAGAGATGTACTATGCTCATACAGGGGGAAACTCAATATTTTAGAGATAGCTAGTCTCCATACTCACATAGACATGGGATGTGGCATATGACCAAGGGCTCACCACACATTTGTGCAAAAGGATGGGCTGATTAATGGGGTATGGACAATAGACACCCATGTGGAAAAATATAAAACATGATCTCTACCTCACACCATATACAAACAAACCCATTCTATGGATTAAGGTCCTGAATATGAAAACCTAGAAACATATTCAGAAAAGAACACATGAGGAAATCTCTATGCTCTTGGATAGGGGAGGATTTCTAAACAAGACAAAAATGACAAACCATAAAATAGAAGATCAATACATGTAATTATATTCAAATTTAAGACTTCTTCATCTAATGATGCTATAGGCAAACTGAGAAGACAAGTAATGGGCAGGGAGAAGACATAACAGACCAAGGATTGGTATCTAGAATATATACCAGTAAAGACTCTCTCAAAATAGTAAGGAAAAGACAATTCATATTGAAAAATTGACAAAGACATGATCAGGCATTTCGCAGAAGAGGAAAGCCCTGGCCAGTGCACTCAGTGGTTAAAGCATCGGCCCACGCACCAAAGGGTTGCGGGTTCAATTCCCAGTTAAGGGCACATACCAGGTTCATTCCCCGCCAGGCACATGTGGAAGGCAACCAGTCAATGTATCTCTCTCACATCAGTGTCTCTCTCTCTCTCTCTCTCTCTCTCTCTCTCTTTCTCTCCTTCCCTCCCTCCTTCCCTCTCTTCTATTCTCTGAAAAGCAATAGATAAAATATCCTCAGGTGAGGATTAACAACAACAACAACAACAACAACAACAAACCCACAAAAAAATAAGCAGCAAGGCATACTAACCACTTCACACCCCTCATATTGACAGAAAGTACTAAGTACTAGGTCAAAGTACTAAGTGCAAGTGTTGGTAAAGTGTGAAGAAAAAGAAAGGCACCAGATAAGTCCAAGTTCTCCCTGATTTGCTGACCTCTGCATCCTCAAAGCCTACCCGACTAACCTTGTGCCCCAGGAAGAGGGAAACACCCATGGGCATGTCACCTGCAGACAGCCTCAGCAGTCCCTATCTCTCCTCCTTCCAAAGCCTGCCACGTTCATGGTCCAGGGCCACGTGGCCTCATGGTTAAGTGCAGGGGCCCTGTGGTTGACTCTTAGCCTTGCCACTTAGTAGCTGTGCAACCTTTTTTAAAAAATATTTTTTTATTGATTTCAGAGAGGAAGAGAGAGGGAAAGAAAGAAACATCAATGATGAGAGAGAATCATTGATCAGCTGCCTCCTGCACGCCCCCCACTGGGTTCAAGTCCCCAACCTGGACATGTTCCCTGACTGGAAATTGAACCGTGATCTCCTGGTTCATAGGTCAACGCTCAACCACTCAGTGATGCTGGCTGGGCTAGCTGTGCAACCTTGTGTAAGTTTCTTAACCTCTTATGGCTCAGTTTCCTCTCCTGTGAACTGGGGGAAATAGCTGTAACCCCTTCTGGGGCCAGTGGAAGGACTGAATGAGTTAATATACCTGGAACACTTAGCCCAGTGGTCCCCAACCTTTCTTTGGCCATGCCCCACCTAAGCATCTCTGAAATCTTGATGCCCCCCTGTGATATATAATTCTTATTATTCGAAAAGTAACTCCTATTCACGTGGAGGAAGCCTAAGAGGCCATTCACTTGGTCTAAACAAGCTTCCAAAGAACATGGCACCCATGAAAGAGAAAAATCAAAGAACGAAAGGACATTGAATATGAAGTGATATATGAAAAAATAGCAAATAGTTTCAAAACATATGATAGAGAACTGAAATACATAAATAGGTCACTATATATTTATATATTGTATATGAGGCCCCTAGAACCATAAGAAATGCAAAAAGTTCACTGTTGGTAACTCATTCTCGAATTGCCCCCCTTAAAAATCAAATTGCCCCCCTGTGGGGCGTGTGCTCCACGTTGGGAACCACGGACTTAGCCCAGCCCCAGACCTCCTGAGGAGGGCCATAGTCGCAGCACTGGTTTAAGGTTCCCTTAAACCTCACTTCCTCTTCCTGAGACCCTGATTGCCTCTAGCTGTGACTTCTCCCTGCACCTCGAGAAGCCCTCCACAGATGGGCTTTTCTGGCAGTGGGGCCTTAACTGTTGGCAAGTAGCTCTGCCCGAGACCCAGAAAACACTTGAGCATGTGGAAGTGGGCTTTGTCTCTGAACGGTGCCAATGCCAGGCTCGAGCCTGGCACCCAGAAGGCACTTCCTGGAAGGCTATAGAATGCTCCCCTGACGACTCAATGGGAAGGCACCACCCTGTTCTCACCTGCTCCAGCCAGGTGCCCACAGCCTCTGCCATGCCTATCAAGGCCAGCAGAGGGCAGCAGCAACCGCCCTGCGCTGTTGGGCAAAGGGGTGGATGGGGAGGGGCTGGGCTGCCTCATCCGCCAGGATGAGTCCGGTTGGGCACGATTGCATTGTGGGGAGGGAGGCCGGGGCTCCACGGAGACGCACTTCTGGCACCAGCTGCTCCTCAGCCCCTGCCCGCGGCCCACCCAGGTAGGCAAGAACCCGGGCTGGTGAGAGCAAGGGGTGCAGGGGCCTCTGGATTGGGGAGCACCACCTCGGGCTGTGCTGGGACCTGAGAGAAGCCAGGGGTTCACAGGGCCAACTAACTCTCATCCGGGAAAGGCCTTCAGGGGCCAGCCCTGTGATGGCACCTCCTGATGCCTAGGGGGCACAGCACACCTTTGGGAAGTAGGACCCCGTACTTCTGCCCCCCAAATGGAAGAGCTGGCGCTGCCAAGGGCAGGGCACAGAGTAGGGAAGTGGCCCGCCTGGATCCCTGCCCCCACAGCCACCCAACTGGCCCAGCCAGGTGGCGGCAAAACTGCTGCTGCCACCTTGCCCAGAGCCTGCTGCTGCAGCTCACCGTGGTGAAGGCAGGGTCTCCAATCTCTGCACACCTGCCCCTGCGCCTTGGGGCAGAGCCCTGGCTCTGCTGGCTTGGTGTGCACACGGTGCCCTGTGAGGGTGGCAAGGCAGCCAGCTGCCAAAGGACACTCCTTTCCCCGCCCCAAGCATGGAGGGGGATGTAGGCCCTTCCTGGGATGGTGTTTCCTTGGGGGAGGGGGAGGGGCACCGCCAGCGACCAGTTGCCATGCCTGAAGCTCCGGGTTGAGTTCCTGCGGGCCATGCCCCCCACCCCTTCCTGTGCATCCTCTGCTGGCACTGTGCACCACCACCAGGATGTACCTGGCACGACTTTGCCGGCCCCCCGAGGTGGGGCTGGATGGGCCAGTTCTTATTCTGGGCCAAAGGGGTGGGGGTGTTGGGGGGAAAGTGTCCTGGACGCCTTGCCTTTGTCAGCGTCTCCCCTGCCCCCAGTCCGGACAAAGGCCGGCATTGAGGGCCAGGGCTGGCACTCCAGCCAGGCACCAAGGCTACTAAGGCTGAGTCTGGCATTGCAGGGACTGAGCGCCCTGACCCTCCCATGGGGGTTCTGGGGCCTCCCCTGAGCTGTTCACAAGGAGGAGCTCGCTGGCTGACACCACAGGGGTGGGGCCGGCTGTGTGGCTCTCATTTTTCTGGCTGGAGGAAACCCTGTCCCTTTGTCCCCAGATCCCAGGGGGTGTCTCTCTGAGGGTGGGGAGTGGCAGGGAGCCCCCTGGCCAGAACAGCCGGGGTGGGGTGGGGGGAGAGCACCAGATAGTGGGTCCCTGGCCTCTGGACAGAGGGGACATTGTTGAGGTGGAGGCAGGGCTCCCTTGGCCCGGCCACTATTGACAAAGCTGCCAGCTGTGGTGGAGCCTGGCCACTAGGCCCTTGCTCCCCCCCCCAAACCTCCCACCTCCCCCAGGGCCAGTGTGAATGGGGCCAAGCCTCAACTGTCTCCCTCCCACTCAGGGCAATGCCCCCCACAGCAGTCTTGTGCCTGTCACCACTGCCCTGGGGCAGTTGAAGTGACGAGATGTGCTTCCCGCTGCTGCTCCCCTTCTCAACGGTGAGTGCCCGGGTCCCCAGTCCCCAGAGATGTCCCAGGGAGGGCCGGGCCAGGTAAAACAGCACTGGGGAGCCTGGGTGTGGGGCTCCGATGTGCTGCACCTCCTGGCCACAGTCCCTAGCCCGTCACCCACATGCCATGGACACTGCCGCTGATATCCCAGGTCGAGAGGAAACGGCCCTGCCTTTCAGCCAGGCCTGACCTTCCTGTCTGTGTTAGCAAGATAAAGAGCTCTGACGCAGCCACATGCCTGCGAGCCCGGGCGTGCGTCCCTGCTGGCGTCTTTGCTGGCGGGCATGGGACACACTGAGCAACTGTGGGCCTGCCCCTGGCGCGCCCACATGCACGGTTATGCGGGTTCCGGACTCAGCTGGCGCTCTGTCCCCTTCTCTGTGGCTCTGGGCTTGGGGTCAGGAGGAGGGTGGAGCGAGAGTCCGCCAAGGCCCACAGGCTCTGCCCTGTTGGCATCTCTCTCTGTCTCTCTTGCCTGGCCACCGAGGCAGCCGTTAGGGCTGTTGGGCAGGGTCTGCTGCTAATGGCCCCCCACCGGGAGGCAGGGCTCAGGCTCACACCCCCATCAGGCCCGTGGGAGCTACTTCCAGTCTGGGGTCCAAATGGCTCCAAATGGGTGAGGAGCTGCGCCTATGGCTTCTCGGTGTGGGGCCCCCTTCAAGCTCTTCTGCCTTCCTCCCCACTACCCTCTCCTCACTCAAGCTCTCTTCCTGGCTGTCTTCTTCTCATTCCCCCTTTTCTCTGTCCCCCTCCACATCCACACTCGTGGTGCCAGGCCCCAATGGACCCTGGCCGCTGGGGCCCATGGAGCAGGGGGCAGATCTCCTGTACCCATGCTGTCTCTTGGTGACCTCTCCTCACCTCCCCCAGGCCCAGCTCTCCCCAACCTCTGCCCTGACCACCCCCTAGCCGTCTGTGGCATGACCCTGTTCTCATTGGCCCTGGCTTGCACCCCCTCCTTGCCATCTTTGGGGAGAGCTGGGGTGGTGTCTCGGCCTGCATCCCTCCAACTGCCTCAGTTTCTCCCTGGCTCGTTCTCCTCTCTCCAGCACTCCCTCTCTGTGCTCATAAAGGTCCCTCTTTGCCACTGACCCAGGGCCAGTTTCCTGTCCCTGACGGGGTCTCCCTGCTCTTGCCAACCCTCCCACCTCTTGCCCCCGTGCCACCTCTCTTGTCTGAGTGGTGGGCACAGGATCCCCCACAATGTGGCTTCCACCAGCATTCCTTCGCCCACATCCTCCAGTCTGTGGGCTCCTGCTCCCTTTCCCCCTCTTCCAGGTGCTCCCACGCCTCTGCCTCCTGCCTCTCTCCCCATCAACACCCCCTCTGCCCTGCTCTCCTCTCCATGGCCTTTCCTCTCTGTGTCACAGCCCCCTCTGTCACTGTGTCCTATTTGTGGTCTTGTGGCTTTTCAGGATCTGTCCCCCTTCAACAATCTAAACACATACATTTAAAGTAGAAGATGAAACAATTCTTTCCTTGTGCATGTATGTGACCACCCCCCCCCATCTCTTGGATATTCTTTGTCACTCTTTCTGTCCTCCTCTCCCGCCCCCTTTCTGACTCCTTCTCTCTGTCTCCATGTCTCTCTCTGCTCTCTCTCTTCTTTTAAAATATGTTTTTATTGTTTTCAGAGAGGAACGGAGATGGAGAGAGAGAGAGAAACATCAATGATGAGAGAGCATCCTTGATCGGCTGCCTCCTGCACCCCCCACAATGGGGATCGATCCCGCAACCCGGGCATGTGCCCTGACCAGGAACCGAACCGTGACCTCCTGGTTCGTAGGTCAACGCTCAACCACTGAGCCATGCCAACCAGGCTGTCTCTTCTCTTTGCTTCTCTCTGCTCTCTTTCTTTGTCCCTGCTTTATGGTTCCTCCTCTCTGCCTCTCTGTGCTTCTCTCCCTCTGTTTTTATCTCTCTTCTCAATCTTCTCTCCCTCTGGTCCTCTTTCTCTACCCCCTCTTCCTCTGTCCCCCTCACCGCCCTGACTCATGCCGACCAGGGGTGGGGAGGCAGTGCTCCCTTCCCACTGGGCCTCAGGTGCTCGGCTCTCCCCCAGGCCCAGGTGATGGCTCCCTGGTCTCCCTTCGGCCCCCACCTCCTGCTCGTGCTGTTGCTGCTGTGCCCACCGCTGCCCCCGACTCAGGCCCATCGATTCTCCGCACTCAACACTACCTTCAACCACTTGGCACTGGCACCCGGCCGGGGCACAGTCTACGTGGGGGCGGTGAACCGCCTCTTCCAGCTCAGCCCGGAATTACAGCTCGAGGCTGTGGCTGTCACCGGCCCCATCTTCGACAGCCCCGACTGCGTGCCTTTCCGTGACCCGGCTGAGTGCCCGCAGGCCCAGCTCACTGGTAACGCCAACCAGCTGCTTCTCGTGAGCAGCCGGGCCCAGGAGCTGGTGGCCTGCGGGCAGGTGCGGCAGGGCGTGTGCGAGAAGCGGCGCCTTGAGGACGTGTCCCAGCTTCTGTATCAGGCCGAGGACCCAGGCGATGGGCAGTTTGTGGCCGCCAATGCCCCAGGAGTGGCCACGGTGGGCCTGGTGGTACCTGCACCGGGCCGGGACCTCCTGCTGGTGGCCAGAGGCCTGGCTGGCAAGCTGTCAGGAGGGGTACCGCCCCTGACTGTCCGCCAACTGGCTGGGCCGCAGCCCTTCTCCAGCGAGGGCCTGGGCCGTCTTGTGGTGGGAGACTTGTCTGACTACAACAACAGCTACGTGGCGGCCTTTGCCAACGCCCACTCCGCCTACTTCGTCTTCCGCCGTCGTGGGGCCCGGGCACAGGCCGACTATCGCTCCTATGTTGCCCGAGTCTGCCTGGGGGATGCCAATCTTTACTCCTACGTGGAGGTGCCCCTCCACTGCCATGGTCAGGGCCTCATCCAGGCTGCCTTCCTCGCCCCGGGCACCTTGCTGGGGGCCTTTGCCGCAGGCCCAAAGGGGACACAGGCGGCCCTGTGCGCCTTCCCCCTGGCAGAGCTGGACAGCAGCATGGAGCAGGCCCGGCGCCTTTGCTACACAGCAGGCGGCCGAGGCCCCAGCGGCACAGAGGAAGCCACCGTGGAGTATGGCGTCACTTCACGCTGCGTCACCCTGCCCCCTGTAAGTGGCTGGGCCTGGGCCCCACACTTGTCCTCTCACCTCAGGCTTTGCCCACTATCTTTTGGTGGCGGCTCTGGTCTTCTCTCGCTGCCTCATCTAGCCTCGCTTGCCTCTCTGTCCCTGTCCCTCGTGGTCCTGCGGCAACCCTCAGCCCAGGGCAGGGGCTGCCATATGTAGTCCTGAGCCCCAGGCAGCTGGACTCTCTCATGTGACAATGACCCATGGCCTCTTGGTTAGAGGATGTCACGAAGGGGCCGGCTTGGTCTCCAAGTCTCCTAGCTGGTCTGTCTTTCTCCCTCTCTGCAGCGGGCTTGGTCTTACCATGGGGCTCCCTGGCCCTACCCGCTATCCTGCCTTGCTCTCTCCTCACTGGCCACCTGGCTGTCCTCCTCTGACTAGCTCTGGGCCTGGGGAAGTATCTTCTGCCTTTTCTGAGAACTGATTTTGCCCTCCCCGCCTGTCCAGGACTCCCCTGAGTCGTACCCCTGTGGTGATGAGCACACCCCCAGCCCCATCGCTGGCCGCCAGCCCCTGGAGGCCAGGCCTTTGCTGCACCTCGGGCAGCCCATCAGCGCCATCGCAGCCCTCCAGGCAGATGGGCACATGGTAGCCTTCCTGGGGGACACCCAGGGCCAGCTGCATAAGGTGAGGGCCTGTCATCGCCAGCCTCCCGGCCCTATGGTCTTAACACTGCCAGGCCAGTCCCTGCAGCGGCTCAGGGCAGCCCCAGGTACCCTCTGCCTCAGCTTGTGTCCTGGCTGGCCGGGTGCCACCTGCTGGCTGCCTGGCGCCCAGAGACATCAACTAGGATGACGTCCCAGGTGTCTCCTAGGCAACCCCAACTTCTCCAGCCAATAGTGGGAGCTAACAGCCAAGGTGGATGAGGGTGGCATGGAGGCAGGGTGGGCAGTGCCTGGCCCTCAGAGCCAGCCTAGCCCCAGAAGTCTCTCCGAGGCAAACTCTTGCCTTCTTGTGACCTGTTTGCCTCCCCACAGCTGTCTTCTGGCCCCTGGTGCCCAAGGGCCTCACCCAGGGTGGCTCTGCCACCCTAGCTGGGTGATGCTGAATGGAGGAGGCAACATGGGCAGAATGGATGCCCATGGGCCTTCCCCACCCTCTGTGGCCTGGGATCCCCAGTCTGGAAAAGAGCACATGCCCTGAACAGTTGGCCTGGGGCCATCTGAGAGGGGGCCTTGGGTCAGCGGTCTGGCCCAGCCCTGTCCTTGTCATCCCCCAGGTCTTTCTCAATGGCTCCCAAAGCCAGGTGTACCACTCCCAGCAAGTGGGGCCTCCAGGCTCAGCGATCAGCCCCGACCTGCTTGTGGATAACAGCAGCAGCCACCTCTACGTCTTGACTGCCCAGCAGGTGAGGGCTGGCCCAGGGGTCTGGGTACATGAGGCCCGAGTGCCCGCACCCACTGCTTCTATCCCTACTGCCCATCCAGGTAGACCGGGTACCCGTGGCGGCCTGCCCCCAGCTCCCCGACTGCACCAGCTGCCTCCAGGCCCGGGACCCGCTGTGTGGCTGGTGCATCCTCCAGGGCAGGTGAGTGCAGCGCCTACGCCCAGGTTTGGGCTGACAGGTGGTGCATGCTGGGAGGCCACACCTGGAAGCAGCCCTGGGCATGCCAGGAGGCCAGTTTGGCTCCCTGTGGTAATAACTCGGGCTGTGCCCTGTGTGGCTCCGTGTGTGAGCATTGACCAAGGAGGTCACTGTTAGATTCCCTGTCAGGGCACATGCCCGGGTTGTGGGCTCGATCCTCAGTGTGGGGCGTGCAGGAGGCAGCTGATTAATGATTCTCTCTCCTCATTGATGTCTCTATCTCTCTCTCCCTCTCCCTTCCTCTCTGAAATCAATAAAATATATTAAAAATAAAAAAAGACTCAGGCCGCTGCTGAGTTCCTCCATCCTGTCCCATCCCACCAAACCAAGACTGCTCGGCAGCCCCTTCCCACCACGGCCAAACCTGCTCACTTCTCATTCCCCCGCCTCTACCCTGGGCCAGGCCTCTGTCCCCTCTCCCAGGTGTCCCCTCCAGCCCATGCTCTGCATGGCAGCCCCAGGAATCCCTACGGCACCCCTAAGCCAGATGCGTGCGCCTTCCCTCTGCAGCACGGCCCCCTCTTACTGTCAAGGCCAAAGCCCATGCATTGACCACCGAGCCCTGGTGCTTGGCCCCTTCCTCTGTGAGCACAGTGATGTTCATCTCCCCTGCTTCCTGCGCTCCAGCTGGGCCATCCTTTCAACCCCCTTGTGGCCAATCATCCAAATAGCCTGAGACCCACGCGGTGACCCAAGGGGCCCTTGCCTGCAGGTGTACCCGCAAGGGCCAATGTGCGAGGGCAGCCCAGCCCAACCAGTGGCTGTGGAGCTATGAGGAGGACAGTCGCTGCCTGCATGTCCAGAGCTTGCTGCCAGCCCATCACCCCCGCCAGGAGGAGGGCCAGGTGAGGCTTCTGTACCACCTGCCTGTGAGGGATGCCCCCAGGCTGCACCCACCACCACCCCATCCTCCTCTCTTGCTGCCTCTGCTCCCATTCTCTCTACTC